AATCCATGATCGAATTCTATGTAATCCATGATCGAATTTTATGTAATCCATGATCGAATTTTTTGTAATCCATGATTGAATTTTTTTAAAATTTGTGATTTTTTTTTTTAATCCATGATCGAATTTTTTTTTGTAATCCATGATAGAATTTTTTGAAAATTTGTGATTTTTTTTTTAATCCATGATCGATTTTTTTTTGTAATCCATGATAAAAATTTTTGAAAATTTGTGATTTTTTTTTTTTAATCCATGATCGATTTTTTTGAAAATTTGTTTTTTTTTTTTTAATCCATATTATTCAAAGAGAAAATGAAAGAGATGATGATTCTGAGGCCACCCTATCCCAGCCATATTATTCACATATCGAGTCCCAACAACAACAGTGTAGGGATGAGCACAACAGTGCAGGTGAGCATGAAGGATGGTCAATTTTTAGGGATTTTAGATTGGGAACACAACAAAACACTAACACTCAGGGATTTGGGAATAGTTAGACGCCTACTAATATCGATGATTCGTTTTTAGATCGAATCAATGAATTGTTAAACGAATTCAATCAATGGCACCAGCGTGACCAAGAAGAGCAATAACGTCGTCTATCATTTTATTTTTAGATCATATGTTACTAATTTTATGCTTTATTGTAGTCCATGTATGTTGATATACTTATTCTATGATAATTCTATGTTTATCCTTTTGTGTGATGTAAATTAAATGCTGAATGGCGGTTCATGCAGGGAAAGAACATATCAATATTCGCATATTCAATCAAAAACATGGAAATTCTTAATGGAATACCCTCATTTCTTATTGAATTCCTAAAAAACAATATTTATAATGAATTTTAATATTTTTTTCGGATTTTTTTTAAGCTTTATTCTGACCGATTCACCCGATTCCCTATCCGGATCGTCGATTCGTCGATCCGGATCGGTTTTTTGGGAGCCCGATCCGGGTCACCGATCCGTTTTTTAAACCATTGCTCTGGATAGATCACGCGTGTTCTTCTTTCATTGGTATTAGAACTATTGATACTTGTTGTCATTACTAGTATTTTCTCTTTATTGCGTCCAGGTCTAACTTGGGAATAAGATATGGTTGTCTACACCTTTCTCTCCGAGATCCTAATATCTGAAAGGTTTGATAGGACCAACTATGTTTCTTGGAAAAGAAAGATGGGTATGTGCTCCATGATGAAAGCTTGCAAGAGAAACTCCATGAACAATCTCCTTTTAGTCCAAGTGACGACTCATCTCAAGAAATTAAAGATGTGTACACACTTGGAAGCACAAAAACATCAAGTGTGGAAACATCATTTTATGTGCAATGATCGACTCATACGCTTCCGAATATGAAATCTATGAGAGACTTGAAAGGGAGTTCCAGAAATGACGAAGATTAAGCAAATCTATAAACGTTCGAAAATCTTGAAAATAGACGATCCAGATAATGTGTTTGAAGATGAATTATTTTTAGGACTAAAAATCTCTCTTTTTTACATGCCTATGAATCTCAAGGTTGAGATAATCGATTTGAGGGTTTTCTAACTTATATAATCTTCTCTAATTGGTTTTTTAGGTGTACCTTAAGATTGACACCTTATATAAACTTTTTCCCATATTATAAATCTTGCTTATTCAACAATGATGGCTGTCTAGAAATTACCCAAAATAAACGTCTTTCTTTTTTAGATTTCACTATTAGTAAATCATGCAATTTTACTTCCAGTACAATGGGAGCCCTAGCAAAATGCATTACTACATCACTCCAACACTAAAGGATTCTTGGTTATAGATGCCATAGAACCTCCCATCTGTTTGGCCTGACCGGACTCATTCCTATATAATTTTTGCGTAGTTCCCAATGGTCGGAGTAATGACTCCAAAGTAGAAATTTCAATTCCAATGGGTGTGGTTTGTATAGAGCTGACGATCTAAACCATCAAAGTAAAATGCACCTTCAAATAGTGTCGAGAAATATGGTTTCAATCCAGAAATCTTTGTCATAGTCTTAAATTATATTTTCATCTTCAATTATAAAGTTTAAGGCTTCAAAAATAATGTAGATCGCGCAGATCTATGAAAACTTGAAAATCTTGAAAATTGCCTGTCAAGAAATGCGTTACAAGATGCATTATCTCTAAAACTTAAAATCAATTATTTTTTTCCATTTCCGTACATCTTGATGTCAAGATGATCAATTTGAGGATATTTGAGCATCAACACAACCTCTTCTAGTGAAGTTTTGAGGTGGGCCCTAATTTGATTGTTTAGAACCTCGGCTCTATATAAACTTTTTCCATTCCTAATATATATATTATACAAATGATGTCATCTATCATCATACTTGGCCATTTCCAAATCCTAAAACATCTAGGGCTGGCAATGGACCTGAATCCGACCCTGGACCCACCGGATATACTTGACACGGGTCCGAGGTTTGGACCCACGAGTATGGTCCGAGTCCTTCAAAATGGACCCAAAGATTTTCGGATACGGGTCTAAATATTAGTGGACAATATACGACCCAAGACCTGAAATTCCCCCTTGTGTTTTCTCACTCTAGCTATCCTTTGTTACCTCCACTCTCACCATCATCAAGGTAATGAAACTCAAGATTAAGTTCGCTGGCTTTCTCAGAAAACCCAATTCATTTGTCTACTTAATCTTCACCACTGTTTCAAATATTTCTCGGATAATCAGCCTTGAATGGAGCTCCTCAAACGGTTATATAAAAACCAAATCAGTTTTTTTCCACTCGACATTTTTGCTCCTATGCTCAGAGATTCCTCTGCAAATCCGTCATCAGTGAAGCTCCAAGTTGTTTATACAAAACCCCGCTTCCTTCTTTGCAAAAAAGGCAAGATTGGTCCCTTTTGTTCAAAGCTTCCCATGTAGCGGTGAGAAAAACTTGGAGTTAGATTTGAAACCCTTTTCGGACCGTATCTAGATCTGGGTATGGATCCAATTTTGGATCCAAAATCCAGTTTCAGATCAAAAGAATCAGGTCCAAATTGAAATTCGGATTGGATCCAGATACATGTGGATATGATTTGGATCCAACCCGATTTTTTTTAAAATAAGATATTTTTATTTTATATATATAATTTTTTTAAAGGGTCCGGTTTGTATAGAGTCGAGGCTCTTAACAATCAAAGTAAACCGCACCTTTAAATACTGTCGAAAAACATAGTTTCATATTTAATTATAAAATGGAAATCTTTGTGATAGCTTTGAAATATATTTCATATTTAATTATAAAATTTAAAACTTCAAAAATAGTGTAGACCAAGCATATCTATGAAAACTTGAAAATCTTGAAAATTGACGGTAAAAAGTGCGTTACAAGATGCACTATTTTCAAAACTTGAAATCCATGTTTTTCTCACGTCCATACATCTTGATGTCAAGATTATCAATTTGAGGATATTTGAGCATCAAAGCAATCTCTTCCCGTGAACTTCTTTGAGGTGGTCTCTAATTTGATTATTTAGAGCTTCAGCTCTATATAAACTCTCTTTTTCTAAAAAGTATACATATACACACACACATTAATTCAGATCCAGGTACGATGTATACTATTCAATCCCGAAATTGAATATTCAAGATCTAGATTTGGGTAGATACAACCCCAATCTGACCCATCTCATGACTATTCCCATGTAAATCCACCGTTAATGGAACTCTAAATTGTTCTAACAAAACCCAACGCATTTTCTACAACAGAACAAGATTGATTGCCTCTGTTCAAAAATTCCTCAAGAAAACTGCCATTATTGGAGCTCAGCTTCTCCGCAATGCAATCATTGTCTATGTTTTAGTCTTGCCAACTCATCATTGAAGTGTATAGAGACAGGGGATTAATCCCACAAGTGGTTTTTCAGATATAGGTACGGGTACTGGTGGACCTTAACCAGACCTTGATCTCCTCTCGAGTACGAGTATGGATACAATGGTTTTGGACCCGTTAGGTATGGGTTCGGGTGCAGGTCCACAAGTGGTTTTTCATATACAGGTTCGGGTACTAGTGGACCCGACCCATTGCTACCCCTAAAAACACCGCCACTTCCTGCAACTTCCAACAACCATGACCTTAAGAAAAATGCACATGATAAAACTTGTATAACAGTTAAATAAATAAATAAATAAATAAATAAATAAATATATATATATAT